ATGTGGAACTCTCACTTGCCTTGATGTTACCTGGTTTAGATAATGATGACAGAAGAAAAAGAAAGGAAGGTGGAAAATATTGTTTTATCGCCAAAAATATCGCGGTTCCCCCCCCCAAATATCGTGCAACCTTGTAAAGTGCCAAAAGGAGAAAAGCTCACCTTCCAACCCGCAGAACTGTTGCTGTCTCCTTTGTCCTTGAAGTAAGGCACACTCTTCACCATCCAGTCATAAATCTGAGACAAAGTCAATCTGTTCTCTGGAGAACTTTCGATAGCTTTGGTTATGAGGTCTGCATAAGACATGTTCCCCCACGCGTTCCGCCGGGACGAGCTGCTCTTCCTCTGGGCAGCGGCGGCTGCAGCGGCCGCGGGAGACGACGAGCCGACCGGCGTGGAGAGAAGCGGCACCTGCTGCTGCTGATGCGGAAGTTGCGGGTGATGTTGCGGATGATGTTGCTGCTGCGGGGCTTGCTGGTGCACGCAGTTCTCCTGACACTGAAAGTCGCCGCACAGGATGGCGGGCTTCTCCTCCGAGAAGTCCTCGTTCTCCTCCAGCAGGCTCAGGTTGTTGATGAACTCGGAGGTTCCGCCCGGCTCCTGCTTCACGGAGGGCACCGGCGAGGACGTGTTGGAGTCGCCCGGGTTGATGAACTCCGGCCGGGGCAGGGGCCAAGTGCACGAGCGGGGCCGCGACAGGGGCTCGAAATCCGGGTCGATTTCCACCAGATGTGGCTGCTGGGCCGCTTCCGCCATGGTCGAGAGGTGACTGACAGGGGTGTTAGAGTGACACGTAAGAGTGACAAACCCTGTCGCACCACGAAAGTAGCAAGGTCACGCGCGAAATGTTTGCAAACAGAAGGAAAAGTCTGACCGGGAAAGAAGGAGGAGGCGGAGGAGGCGGAGGAGGAGTGCTCCGCCTGGGCGAAAAAAAAAAAAAAAAAAAAAAGAAATCTCCACTGGCTGTCACATCCCAAGCCGGCACAAACCTGTGGAAACCGTTATAAAGTCAGCTTCTAAATGGTCTTTAAAGTGGAATAAAGTTGTTAAAGTGGTAGGAATGTGTTGAGCGGCTGGTTTGTTGATGGTATCCAGTTGTGAGGGCTGTTCCGTCGCGTCCCGTCCAGCCTGTTGACTCTGAGCTGAGCAGCATGTGAGCGGGACTTTACTGGAAGTCGCGTTTGTCCGCTGACTCCGCCCACACTTGATTGACAGTCGAGATTAACCAATGAATGACGTCGACAGTAAAATAAGGTCTTTGTTTTTATCCTGAGGACTGACCTGAAATGCAATGTTTCTCAGTGATATTAGTTTTTAAATTGCTAAAAAAAAACGTTTACTTTACATCAAGTTTTGGGTTAAAATAATTAAAATATTTATGTCATAAAAATTGAAAATTGAAAATTATTATGATTGAAATAATTGTTTGAAAAAAGGGGCAGATATAATAAGATTTTTTTCTTCTTTCTGCTGCCTTTCATTTTAAATCTCTTGTATCTTTTTTTTTATATTGTTA